TAAAAAAAATTATAGTCTATTATTCATCATATGCAATATAACCCTGCCGGACATACTTTTTCATTTCACATGACATGTTTATAGTTTTCATTCAAAACAGTTTTTTGCTTCTCCTACACAATTATGTTTTTGTTAATTACGCCTTTTTGCATTTTAGCTAACGATATATAATATTAACAATAATAAAGATACATATAATAACAATAGTGTTTGCCCTTAACCCACTTTTTACCCCCCAAATGTTTCGGTATTGTTAAAAGAAGCTCTCATTTTAGGAGTACTATTAGTTATAACAAAAAATGTTGCTTATTAAAAAATGTTTAAAAAGCTTCAAAATAGTAATTTTCATAACAAATTTAAGTTTTTTCTATAAAAAAAAATGTCGCACTTAGTGGGTTAATAAACAAATTGCCACATTTTTTCATAAAATAATTAAAATTGTCAATCTAATGGGTCCATTACGGATGGCAACTATAGTTTAGTTGCGTTGCCAGTTGCCAAATTTACATTATGGATGGCAATTGTTGTCAACTTCAGTTGCTTCAAATAGAAATTTTCGGCAACCATTTATTTCTGGTTGCTGTTTATAATAACTGAACTTTGTAGGCTACCCATAATGGCTAATATTACTACAAAAGAACAATTTGAGGTCCTTATTGGGCGGATGGAAGCTCACCCAATTGTAGCACGCGGTGTGCGGACTTTTGATCAAGCCAAAGCCACTATCGATGATGTGTGGAAGGCCATTTCAGAAGACCTTAACTGCTATGGCCCACCAACACGCATTCCAAATGAATGGCAGAAAGTGGCGAAAATCTTCTTTTGGGTCCATGATATGTACGTGTGTATCATCAATACATCCGACAACACCCTGAAACTTTGTTTTCGAATAAAAAATTTTATTCTTCCCTTTTTCCTCCTCCGTTAATTTGGATACAATCCAAATTTTACACAGTTTTTCCTCTATTAGTCGGATAACTTCGGCGAAAACCATCGACATTGTCGGTTGAGCCATGCAAAGGTTGAAGTCATTGCTATGGGACTTTTTGAACATCAGAGCTGCACACATTTTTAAGAGAGGAGGAATTGCTGTTGACCGCCAGGGTTTTCGGAAATCAGGGTTTAAGGCTTCATCTATGTACACAACAGCATCTTTTGGTAGTCGAAAATACGCCTCCAAGCTAATATGAGCAGTTGATTGAACATTTCTCTAAACGTCAGCATCTACTCACAGAACTGATGGTAGTTCTAATAGATTTATCTCTTAAATGCCTTCTAATGTACGTGTGTATCATCAATACATCCGACAACATGTACGTGTGTATCATCAATACATCCGACAACACCCTGAAACTTTGTTTTCGAATAAAAAATTTTATTCTTATCTTTTTCCTCCTCCGTTAATTTGGATACAATCCAAATTTTACACAGTTTTTCGTCTATTAGCCGGATAACTTCGGCGAAAACCATCGACATTGTCGGTTGAGCCATGCAAAGGTTGAAGTCATTGCTATGGGACTTTTTGAACATCAGAGCTGCATACATTTTTAAGAGAGGAGGAATTGCTGTTGACCGCCAGGCTTTTCGGAAATCAGGGTTTAAGGCTTCATCTATGTACACAACGGCATCTTTTGGTAGTCGAAAATACGCCTTCAAGCTAATATGAGCAGCTGATTGAACATTTCTCTAAACGTCAGCATCTACTCACAGAACTGATGGTAGTTCTAATAGATTTATCTCTTAAATGCCTTCTAATAAATGACACACCTTGAACATAATTTTCATCATGAAAAATAGTTCCACTAAGCTTATCATCACATATAATTAGTTATTCAGAAATATTTTATTCATTTGTTTGTTTACAATATTTCTAGTTTTAGAAATGTCAAAACAGTATTATCGACAGCAACTGAGAAAAGTTGATATTCATAAGTTCCGTTCCAGAACCTAAAAGAATCTACTCATTTTACAAGTTTTGAAACTTTTTACTCGAAAAGCTTTCCTGAACCCACAAAACTGGTAAAACATTCAATTACATTTAAGAGAGCACAATACAAAATGGCGTTCTCTTTGTAAACTTTTTACCCGAGAAATTTGGCCGAGTAAAAATGGTAAGCAGGAAAACCTACTTCTGATTGGCTGTTGTGTTGATTTTGAAGTATTGCCATCTAATTTTGGCATATTTACTAGATTTTCGTTCCTGAACTTTTTTAAATTATTTTGTACTCTGAGAGCGATTTTGAAATGTTTCTCTTTTACTAGCTTTAATTAAAAAAGTACTGGAACAGACCAATAATGTTAAGTTTTATTTCAGTTGCGTTGTCAGTTGAACTCGCAACTGGAGTTTGGTTGCTTTCTATAATTTTATGGATACCATCCTGTTATAAATGGTTTCGCAGACAATATGACAAATGGCGCATTGGTCGTTCCTCACATATCACAAATGCCCTGTTTTTCATTTGCCCTAACTAATGTCTACAAAGTAAAACAATGAGCTAAACATAGGATGGCCCACCAACACGCATTCCAAATGAATGGCAGAAAGTGGCGAAAATCTTCTTTTGGGTCCATGATATGTACGTGTGTATCATCAATACATCCGACAACACCCTGAAACTTTGTTTTCGAATAAAAAATTTTATTCTTCCCTTTTTCCTCCTCCGTTAATTTGGATACAATCCAAATTTTACACAGTTTTTCGTCTATTAGCCGGATAACTTCGGCGAAAACCATCGACATTGTCGGTTGAGCCATGCAAAGGTTGAAGTCATTGCTATGGGACTTTTTGAACATCAGAGCTGCATACATTTTTAAGAGAGGAGGAATTGCTGTTGACCGCCAGGCTTTTCGGAAATCAGGGTTTAAGGCTTCATCTATGTACACAACGGCATCTTTTGGTAGTCGAAAATACGCCTTCAAGCTAATATGAGCAGTTGATTGAACATTTCTCTAAACGTCAGCATCTACTCACAGAACTGATGGTAGTTCTAATAGATTTATCTCTTAAATGCCTTCTAATAAATGACACACCTTGAACATAATTTTCATCATGAAAAATAGTTCCACTAAGCTTATCATCACATATAATTAGTTATTCAGAAATATTTTATTCATTTGTTTGTTTACAATATTTCTAGTTTTAGAAATGTCAAAACAGTATTATCGACAGCAACTGAGAAAAGTTGATATTCATAAGTTCCGTTCCAGAACCTAAAAGAATCTACTCATTTTACAAGTTTTGAAACTTTTTACTCGAAAAGCTTTCCTGAACCCACAAAACTGGTAAAACATTCAATTACATTTAAGAGAGCACAATACAAAATGGCGTTCTCTTTGTAAACTTTTTACCCGAGAAATTTGGCCGAGTAAAAATGGTAAGCAGGAAAACCTACTTCTGATTGGCTGTTGTGTTGATTTTGAAGTATTGCCATCTAATTTTGGCATATTTACTAGATTTTCGTTCCTGAACTTTTTTAAATTATTTTGTACTCTGAGAGCGATTTTGAAATGTTTCTCTTTTACTAGCTTTAATTAAAAAAGTAATAATGTTAAGTTTTATTTCAGTTGCGTTGTCAGTTGAACTCGCAACTGGAGTTTGGTTGCTTTCTATAATTTTATGGATACCATCCTGTTATAAATGGTTTCGCAGACAATATGACAAATGGCGCATTGGTCGTTCCTCACATATCACAAATGCCCTGTTTTTCATTTGCCCTAACTAATGTCTACAAAGTAAAACAATGAGATAAACATAGGATTATGTGGCAATCTTCCTCAACATTCCTAAGACAAGTTAACCCAGCAATTCCTAGGATTCGCTATAATCCTGACTTGAGCAGACCCGATTGCGTTTTCCCAGCTCGACTCAGGGTTGGTAAATGCCTATTCAACACTCACCACTATTACGAAAATACAATGCCCCCTTGCAGCTCTTTTTGCGGTGATACTTCATCCGTTTGTCACATTTTAATAGAATGCCAATTATCTTTTAATAATTTAAAAAATGAAAAAATACAGGATTGTTAAACAAAAGTATTCTTGCATCAATACGTCTGGCATTTAATACTCATAATGTGAATGACATCTAATTCAGAACCATTATATAAATATCTAAACATACATAACATATTATCATAAGTCCTGTAAATATATACTTGTATATCTATTCTATCTATATTGTTAATTTTCGTGCGCACAATGTCTTAGTTACTCGGCGCCTTTTCTATATTTTAAAATTGTGTAAATAAATAAATATCTTAGAAATGTATCACATCTGGTCGCTCAAGATTGTTTACTGGCGCAGATGCTCGACATATTGAAAGTGTGTGAACACTTTTGAATAGGAACCTGGCAGTTATGACAGAGCACTAACGAACATGGATGAACTCTGGCAAAGAGCACAAGAGGAATGTAACAAAATCCTAGGTGAAATTTAAAAAAAATAGTGGAGAGTATGCCAAAGCACATTCGATGTATAAAAAAGAGCAAAGATTGTGGAGTAAATAATTAACAAAGCCTGAAACATTTATATTGGGATCCCAATCATTAAGGATTTTGTAAGGGTTGAAGGGAGGAATTTGCCAATATTTGTACACTTTTGCTCGTCACTGTATATATATATATATATATATTGTTTTCCTTAAGAAATTCACTCAATTCATTCTACCACCCTTTTGAAATATCAATAAACGACAACATAAATTTTAAAAACAACCATTATGAATTACTATAATTATATTATTTTTGTTATTGTTGTATCTTTTTAAATACTCTCGTAGCTATATGGTAATACATTATAGTATTAACAAAATTATTAATAAAGTATTTTCCAATATTAAATAAACAGTTTTCAAAAGATCTCTGGCCTTATCTGCGTTCAAATTTTTATGTGGTACTAATGAACAATCATTTAATATTATTTCCGATTAAGTTATTTACATCAATACGTATTTATTCACAACATTTTTAGTTCCAATTGAGTTGCGGTGATTTGTAACATTTCAATCAAATTCCTCTTGGGCCTCCTCGTCAGTAATTAAAGCAACGCGATCATAGCTATAGTCAACGGAAGATTCATTGCCGTCTTTGCGCTGGCATTTACAAATATTGAACTTTTTCTCAGATTTTGTCAGAATGATTACTAATATTAGAATTATCACAGAAGGTACAACAAATATGAAAAGTATTACAGAATGGTAGTTGCGGCTGGACTCATATGCAATTGCATTTCCCGAACTTCGTTCAGAGAAGTTAATGCAATATGACTCGTTCGTGTTCGGCATTCTCTTCAATTGACTACCGCTAAAGCATGTTTCACATTCGGAACTTAATGGACCAAAGCAGTTGTAGCAACTTTTATCACACGGTTCACAACTCAAGCTAACGTCGCTGTTAGAAGAGGGGCTATAATCTTCAATATGATCTATTTTCACGTTTCTTCTGCGTTTCTTACGATCATTGGCCAGCAGTTCCTCATAGTCATGCTCATTTCCATCCAGATTATTGTACGGCATTTCGCTGTGTATCCTACCCGCAGCAATGTATGTGTGACTGGGGCAAATATCGTAGCAACGTCCCTTAAAGAGAAATGTAGGTGGGGCACACACTATTTTAATAAAAGAAAAAACAATAGTTAATTCATGTTTATCGAAAATAGAATCTTTCCATAAAGTATTTATGATAATTAAATAATACATATAAACATAAATAAAAATTAGAACAAATACTAAATTATACGGTGGGCAAAAATTTGGTTCGGCAAAAAATTGCTCACTGTACAGTGTATGTTGAGTATTGGAAATTAAACGTGCCAGGACTAAGTAAATGGCATTAATTATTTTGATCGAAACTGTTTTGCTTAGTGCCCAATATTGTCCAGTATTGGAAAGGTGTAGTGGTCGAACCATAGGCCACTTTTCTATTTCTTTCCATTACTCACATCAACTTGATAAAATTAGTACAAATACTAAATTATACAGTGGGCAAAAATTTGGTTCAAATCCTTCATTTTCACTATTTAGCAGTTGATCGCCACTACTGTAAATAGTTGTAGCTACAACAACAACTGGCGATAGACTTTTTATATAACACTATAAAACAAAATCGAGCTCAAGTTCTGAGGTGTAAAATTCCTGATGGGAATGAAAGACCTTGCCGAGTGTTTTAAGAACTCAGATGGACAAATTCGCCATTGGTCAAGTTTTTGAATTATGGCGTAATGCATTTTTGAATACATAAAGACTTAAAATTCGTTAGAACATTTGGATTTTTTTTAACATATTTTGCTCACTGTACAGTGTATGTTGAGTATTGGAAATTAAACGTGCCAGGCATGAAAGACCTTGCCGAGTGTTTTAAGAACTCAGATGGACAAATTCGCCATTGGTCAAGTTTTTGAATTATGGCGTAATGCATTTTTGAATACATAAAGACTTAAAATTCGTTAGAACATTTGGATTTTTTTTAACATATTTTGCTCACTGTACAGTGTATGTTGAGTATTGGAAATTAAACGTGCCAGGCATAAGTAAATGGCATTAATTATTTTGGTCGAAACTGTTTTGCTTAGTGCCCAATATTGCCGAGTATTGGAAAGGTGTAGTGGTCGAACCATAGGCAACTTTTCTATTTCTTGTTAAATTCCATTACTCACATCAACTTGATAAAATAATAAAAAAAACGAAAAAATAGCGAAAACATGCTTCTAATCATGAGGAGAACATAAAAATAAAAAGCAATATTTTTACCAGTCACCGACAAACAAAAATAAAAGCACTTATGTGGGTAGGTGGAGCAGTGATGACATTCAGGAAATGTGTGTTATGCAGTTTTACTGAGAGCTCTAATGCATGATGATCCACATAAGTACCAACGCGAATTTTCGCTCAAAAATGTAAGATAGCGCAAAGAAACAAAAATAAACAGATAATTTCAAAAGGTAAAGAAAAACAAAAAATGCGACTCTCACTCACCTCCAATTCGCTATAAGTTGCTTTTATTTTTCTTTAAGAACTGGTTCTCCCAAAGACTCTTGCAGTATTTGCATTTTCCGCCGAGATAGTTCGCGGCGCTAAGCACATTTTCGCTTACCTTAGACATACAATGTGAAATAGCTATCTGGTTTTCGTTTAAGTTCCTCTTTATTTCAATAGTTTAAAATGTGATTTGACAAGTTTTTATGTACATATTTGTTTCAAATGAAACTGTTGGCGTTTATTATTGCAAACTTACAATTTATTTACTATACAAATTGGTTTCTTTATTAAAATACATATTCATATATATTTATATTTATTATTATTAATATGTTGGTGTCTAATTGTTAAGTCGGTATGCATACACCGGAATAGTTTTGTTTATAATACGTAGTATATTCCCTAGTTTACTTCGTGTTAAACAATTTGGCATTTAAGTACACTAAGTTGTAAAAAAATAATCATCTTCCTTCCTTTAGTGATCTAGACTCAATTTGTGTTACGACGTATCAACATGCGTAAATTTTACCCCCCATTGTTGGATACCTTCCCCCATAGCCATGTCGTATTCCGGAGCAATGACTTCCACGTGTAATGATCTTGCTAAGCGAACAATACGAGTATAACAAAATGCAACATGGAATGTTGAAAATAAATATTATTTTAGAGAAGGTAATTCTCACGCACAGACTGTGTTTGTATTGGGATACTTATTTGAGCTGAACATATCTCACATATAGATAGGTAAGACGAACAGTACTCAATCAATGCGCACGGCGCACAAATAACACTATTTGTATACACTGTTATACTATGAGAGCTTTATTGCGACTATATCTCGACAACAAAGAAAAAAAATAAACAAAATTAACGATTGAACAAACATACATGTATATATTGCTATAGTTTATAACAGAGATATGTGGTTTATAGTCGTGTTAATTACATAAAAAACTATTGAAATTGCACTGTAACATCAATTATCTAAAAAAATAAAGTAAACTTAATATATTTTATTGCACGCAATTATACATCCTCATTTGATTTAGTAAAATTATATTTGTCCTATAATACAACTGGATATGTTTATTCCATCTGTAAATACGGAGAAAAGAATCAGGAGCATAATTTCTCTTCTCTGCAATGTGGGAACTATTGGTTTATAATAGAAGGTTGGAAAAGCTAAATTTGTTGAAATCAAATTTAACATAGTTTCAACTGGACTGAACTATAATTTTCCCAATATCTATCTACGGCCTAATTAGAAATGTTATTTTATAAGTCGAGTGATTTAGTTACTGACTACTAATCTTCCCTAACCCCAAAATCCAGGCAAATGTAATTGCGTCGACAAATAAGCATGGTAAACAAGAGTTTGCTGAAAATCGACTTTTTAACACATAACAAATAAGCAAAGGAGTCATTCAACAGTACTAAATGAGTACTTTTAGCAGTTAACTTCGCTCACAAATAAACAAAATTGTAAATATGGTGGATGAGTGAATTTGAAATGCTTAGAAAATCTCTCAGTCCTCTATAACCGATTCCATATATGTAAATAGTTCAGCCAGTATTCAAGATTTACATAGTTGTTAGTACCATGAATACTTACTTATTTTAATCACAATTTTTAAAATAGCGTTTTAATTATGCGTTTAATATGCAACGATCACGATTTTCTAAGATTTTATGTGGGGTTGACAGTATTTCTGGTTTTCCGTCCGAATTTAATATTTTAACACTTTTAAGTTGGATATATTAGTACATAATTGAATTTGATCATGACTTGGAAATAACTTTTAAGATAATTATCAGCCTTATTCTGGACATTCGCCGGGGAGTAATTCACAAGCGAAAATTTTCCCGCTTTCGCTCGCTCCCCTTATTTTGTGTGAACAGTGACGAATTTTCTAATGGTGGTTGAAAAAAGCATTCGTGTTGGCACATTATAATTTAAGCTATGCCATTGTAATCTAATTTCACAATTTTTTTATTTATTGATTTTTTTTCTAACAACAACTTTTACTTATTTTGTTGTTATTAAAATTTCTAACAATATAAATTTCAAATGAAGAGAATCCACCGTAAAACTGCTTTGTAATTAAAATAAAATAAAGAACTTTGAAAATGCGGTAACATGTACTGCATTCGAAACAGCTTCTCTGTTGATGTAATTACAACGAGATTACGAATAAGACAACATTTTTTTACGAATAATGGGAAGAAATCTGCGAGATTGGATTCAATTAATTCACAGTTTAATAATTCACTACATAATTGTGTTCTTTTTCATTTCGATATTTTATCTTCTCTAATTGTTAAAGTGAGCAATTATTTTATACTTTATTCCCTACTTTCTTCATTTTAAGTTGCTCCATTGCTGAAAAAAAATTATTTTCTAAATTTGTTTGTTTTTTGAGTATCACATCGTGACACAATATGTCTTAATTCCGCTATTTCATCAAACTCGGTTTAAATCTTCAGTATTGCCTTTGAATTAAAAATATACGTGAAACCATAATATTTATAATTGTCAACAATAACTATTGTAAAAATATTTTTCATAAAAATTATGTTATTATAGTCAGCTCCCTTTTAATTTACTAGCGAATATTTTGCACAAAATTTCATTATATTCTCCCACTCTCTGTAATTCAGAATAGCTAATTTTCCTCATAGCGGATCGAACTTTCACTCAGTATAAGAAAAAGCGAGAATGCGAAAAAAAATTTTTTGAGATTTTTGGTTCAGAATAACTTTAAAGGGAAGAACGAACAATTTCACGGGGAATATGTGTCCAGAATAAGGCTGCATATTCTGTTTCTTTTTACGAATCGTCCGCCGTATTCATATATGTCCTATATCAATTATGGTGGAAGATTCCGACGTCTTAAGCAAAATTAAGATGTGTAAATATTGATGCACATACAGTAAACAACCATTAATTCTGCAGTAGTATTATGTACTCGTCTCCAAGTCACCTGTTGGTGACGATATTAAAAAAACTTGTTTCTGTCGGTTCTAAAATTTGATTCTATATAATATTTTTTACTTAAATCTATATGTATGTATATAATTTGTTGGCTAAGTTATAACTAAATTATTGTTTACTCTGTACAAGGTATATAATGGCTAACATTTCCCATTAAGCTTACAGTTAGAGGCATTGATAAAAATAATTATCTCTTTCTATTGAAATTCTTGTTAAAATGTGTGTAGGAATATAAAATTGTTAATAAGGACAAACCTAAACATTGGAGATTTATTGTAGCCTTCAGGCAGCTTGTGTTTGTGCGATCATGATTCGACATTCCGTATTCACTGAGCTGAAAAAAATTAAGCAAAATTTATTAAATATCATTATTATATTTTAACTTTAATTTAAAATTGTACATATTAGTCTGTTGTGTATATTTCAAAACTGGGTCCGTGAATGTATTTATATAAAAATAACTATGTCTATGATTTCTTGTTTATAAACATATAAAGAATCTAAGACCTCTTGGTCTTTTTATAGGAAGAAAAAAGTTTGATCGAACTGCCAGAAGAGAAGTTTGGACCATATTTAATGGGAAGCAGGACTCTTCTCTAAATTACAACTTAAATTTTTGAAATGTGACAACAAGTTTTTAACTTTTTGCTACATAAACAAAACGAAATTTAAAGCTAAATCAATTCTAGACAAATTTCCAATTATTAATATGTATACTCCAATGTGTGATAGGATAGTATGGTCTGTGCGAACGATGCATTTTGAAAGGAGTTACAGTCGATTAAATCCCTAAAACAAAAAGTTAAGAAAAGCTATGAAAGTACGTTGTTTTTAAAATCACATTATAATGTGAATTCAACTTGATAATTAAGAGTGCATAACTGCGCTTGGTTATTTAGGAAAGATATTATAAATGAAGAAATATTTAACCATACCAAGTTCTTTGACACTAAAATGTAACCATACCAAGTTCTTTGACACTAAAATGTAAGATTTTTCAAAAACTGGAATTAATCGAAACGTGCACTGAACATCTCATCGTATAATGTTAACGTTTTGTTGGGGGAGTTACTAGTAGGAGTGAGTGCAAATTTTTTAGCTGTCGAGGGGTCTCATATTCTTCACAATTGCGTTTCTTATGTATTTACATGTTATTTTTGCATGAGGAAAATACGTGCCTTTTGCATATCACGCCACTGGCTGCTTGGGTCATATTCAACATTGTTATGCTCAGATTCAGCAGAAAAGGAATTAAATTTATTTGTGCTTATAGGAACGGGATCCTCAGGCTGAGCTGGTCCTTCAGTGCCATAGAAAATTAAATCCCATTGAGTAATTTGAGCTGAAATAAAACATTCACCGTTAAAGAATTTAAATTGAATTATTAAACATTAATAATAATAACATGCATTGTATCTAACGGTAGCGGTATACAAACGTATACGTATAATTCGTATACATAGCATACGCACATACTATAATTTCAAAATAATACTTCTATCGAGTGAGTGCCGTAAATACTTGACCGTATGTGGGAGTACAGAAAGGTTCAGTCAGTTCGGGAGTTTACCACAAGCTTTGAAATTAAAATTATTTTTTATTTGAATTTTGCCTTGTAAGGGCAGTGATCTTTGACAGTAATTTTAAGTGATTATTTATAACTCTTTTCAGTCGAGCTTGATGATCTAAGTTTTGCAATGAAAAGGAAAGCCAGGAGAAGAACCTACGTACCCACCACTATGCGACGCGTTTCGCCGTTGGTTAAGCGGCTCATCAGGTATATTGGGCTATGTGGCTTTTTCTCCTGGCTTTCCTTTTCATTGCAAAACTTAGATCATCAAGCTCGACTCGAAAGAGTTATAAATAATCACTTAAAATTAAAATTAAAAAACAATTATTTTAATTGTGAAGAAACATATTAAAACTCTAAAGTGCTAAATATATAAATATTGCGTTAAAAAAATTAATTTTAACTAAACTTCCAAATTTGCCGGAAGTTTATTCCCACATACAACAAATATCTTTAAAGTAATTGTTTTATTGCTAAAAAATAAAAGGGAATATATTAACGAAATTAAACATTTACTTCTTGAAACATTTTTCTAGTGTGTAAATTTAATAAAATATGCTTGTTTCATCTTGATAACAAAAAATAAATACAATTGAGTTTTCAATACAAACGATATAGTCATGCGTAACATCATCTTTGAAATGATATTATTGTTAGAAAATAATTTCAGATCTCAAGGCAACATTTACAACTGTTGTACCATTAAATATTTTCCTCTGCGATGATGTTACTGTCCCGCTGAGTGGTCTTTGACTTCCATCACTAACTCCTGCTGCAGCCATTAGGAGTTTCTGTTTCTGTATGATGGTTTGGTCGGGGACAAAACTTGATGATAATTTACGTGTGTTTTCGCGCGATGGTTTCGTGTAACTTCCGGTTGGGTTTGTGGACACATTAGATGAAGATGGAATTGTCTGGTTCGGCTTTATAGACTCATCGAATTCAATTTTGCTAATGTTCTCACTTCTATCTTTAGGCAGTGGCTGATAGGGCTGAAACTCTGGGAAGATCGACTGTATTTTTTCATAACGCTCAAAGAGTTTTGTTATGCGTTGGTTGGACGATACGGATGCAGGTCTTATCCGATTAGTCAATGGTACTTCAGTGGTTGACGTAGGAATTTTTGTCGAAAGCAAATTTTTTACTTGCTTTGTGGCTTTAAAATGCAACTTTGCATTGGTTTCTATCGAAGCGGGCGTCACTGTCTTCTTAGACGTGGTGATTGGCAAATCTCCAATTACTTTCCTATTTGACTTAATATCAAACGAAGCTTGTAATCGTTCCGCTGATTGCTGATTTTTTGCAGTTTTGGATTTTATATTTTCAGGTGATGATGATGCTATTTTTCCTTGCTGGGAAATGCGATAAAATTTGTTCTTTGGCGTCTGTGTTGATGTTGTACTGCCTTCTTTTAATTTTGCTTTACTATTATTGATATTTTTATTCGATTTCAGATTCTCGTGAGGTCTCGATTTATAGTTCTTGTTTTGTTTTGAATTTTTGTTATTGGGAGACGCCGCTGATCCCTGCTTTGCTGGAATTTTTTTATTGCCGACAACGTTGTTTAATGTTGCATTGGACACTACAAAATTGTTAACTATATTCGAAGGATTTACTGTTAGTTTATTGGAGGAAAATTTCCCACCCGATCCCAATTTAGAGGAAACGAAATTGTTTGCTGGTATGCGCGGATATTGTGCCGAATAAATTTGATACAAGCTGGTAGTTGTAGAACTAGAATTCGGGGTAGTTATATCAATGTTGGTGCGAGGTGTTGAAACGGGATCGTTTGGGTCTATCGATTGTGTGGTACCGTAAAATATTAACGACCACTCCCTTAGAAGAGCATGTCCTTAATTTGTGAACATATCCAAAAACGATGCAAATAGAAACATTTTTAATTTTAACATATCAACATTTAATTTTGATTAAATATCCATGGAAGCAGCATTAAGTATAATAAAGAAGTACATTAATATCAGCCTTATAAAATATATATTTATTAGAATATGGTACAAACAGCATGTGTATAGTATACCTCCTTTCGATTGAAAATATTCGAAACTGGGCACAACATGAACGATCATAAAATTTCTACTTACCCATATATCGTCCTTCGTTGTGAATTTCTAATTGCCAATTGCCATGTGGAGATTCGCCCCAAGTGTGAACAGACATGAAGGGCCATTGATTAAAGCCAGAATGCGAAGTATCGTGGACTCTATATGTGACAAGAATTTTGTATATGAATTAATCGTTTACAAGATAATTATACGTTGCCACTGGCTTGGTGAACTATACTAGCGGAATTCATGAATGCTTGCAAATTAGTATTGAAGGCCTAGAACATGAAAGTTCAGTTAACCCCAAAAAGGTTTGTTTTGCCGCCACTTTCTTGTGAGTTTAATTTTTTTTTAGAAAAAAAATTTTATAAAAACAAAAACCGGGATTCAGCCTGACTATTTTGCAAAAATAAAATACAAATGGTATCCCAAATAAACCGCCAACACGACTGAAAAATATGAATGAAAACAACAGTTAAAGTCACGATGAGGTCAAGATATTGTTAGATTATATTAAGGCATCACCATTTTGAGGTAAATCAATTGCTTACATCGAAACAGAGATTTGGTAGAAATCTGCAGAGGCTGACTAACTTTAACATGACATTAAATAACTTGAATTTATATGTTTTAATATGTTTCAGCAACATAGCAAAAATTCTTTGCATACCATTTCAAATTGGCGGGGGAACACAACACAAAAAACAATTATATTTGTTGGGTTACAATACTCTCAGGCTCAAGGGCTGTATATTCACATCCATTCGTGAATTCCGCTAAGGTTACCATACAAGACCAAAACACTTTATTACACCAAATTATTTAACTAAGGGTTAAGGGCGCCACTACCTCTCAAAGGAACATACATTTTGTTGTATCTTGTTCTATACTATTAAGGCATGTTCTAAATTATTAATTAAAGTGGTGTACATACTTTTGTCTTTTTATAGCGTTTTTATTAAGCAACACAATACATATTTGTATTGCTTGAGAACTTACCTAGGAGTTAGTAACGTTACTTTGGTACCAGCTGGGGAAATTAGATTCAATTGAATGTCACCTCTTCGTTGTGATGTTAAGGTTATTTTAGCTTGAACGTGTTCCAAAAAGTTAATGTTCAAACAGTTTTTAACGGATAGTTGCAATGTTATGTGACTTTTGGGCGGAATAACTCTGAAATAAATATTTAGATACCAGTTATTTAGAAAATCTAAATAAACGCGCACTTACTTATCGACATGTGGTGCATTAATTTCGCATCGCTGCTGTTCGGGCACTGTTTTCCACTGACGCGCCAGCTTAACCATGGCTGCGGCATCCATTAATCCGTAACCGAATGAATGACTTACCCTTCTTCCGACACCATTCTTTGACCAAGTTGGATCTATTAAATTTGCTGGCTTTGCTGTCCTAACTACAATATGCTGCATGTCGCGCCACGTTAGGTTGTTGTTAGATTCAAGCACCAATGCAGCGATACCGGCCGCTAATGGGGCAGACGCAGATGTCCCTGTGTGTGAAACTGTGCAAGAATGATGTAAATCCGTTGTAACAACCTGTTTTTCAGTTTGGCTTCCACTGCTGTATGTTGTTGCTAAAGTAGAGCTACATTTCTCCGAATACCAAGGCACAAAGCCATCTTCGGTGGCGCTAGAAATTGACAGTGTCCAAATGGAATTTGTATAGCCATCACAGTTACAATTATCCATTTCCCGGCCTCCATTTCCTGAAGCCCAAATAAAAATGCTACCCTTTCCGGACCTTCCTTTAGTGACGCCTTCAATAAAAGCGCGAGAAGCTAGTTCCCCTGGCCCGTCAACTGTTTTTCCATCGTCATCTGGACCCCAAGAGGCACTGTATATGTCAATGTGCTGGGGATTCAAGGATAATGATCTAGCTTCGACTGCATCTGTAACATCTCCATCTAACATTCGGACACCGCCAACACTGGCACCAAATGCAATGCCAACCGCACATATTGAATTATTAGCGGTAGCAGCAACTTCGCCGGCACATCTTGTGCCATGTCGATTCGAATCTGCCAAATCGTAGTGCGGCATAGGGTCTTCGTCGTGGCTATTTACATCGTACGAAGCTTTCGGGTCCTATAATATGTCAATGTATTTATTGTATCTGCTGCGCTCAAACACATTAACTAACTTACATAATTGTGTATTATATCAGGATGGTCGGACTCAAGGCCATCGTCCAATATAGTCACCACAATTCCTTTCCCCGTTATACCTTCTTTCCAAGCAGGAATCACATTCATGTCCAGGTCACCACCTCGATTCTGGAAGAAATGCTTATTCACTGCAATTACATATATTTTTTATATGTACTCACCAAATACCACATGTGCTCCCACTTAGGGTCCGTAAAGGGCATAGCCTTTACCCTTGATAATGCCGATCTTGATGAAGTTCGTGAAGGTCTCATTCGTATGAAGTCTCGTTTTCGACGGGATTTAGCAATTTGTTGCTTAGCCCAATCTACACGCTCGTCCTCATCAAGTCTGGCTTGGTGATGTTCGGACGGTTCGAGCGAGCGTTTAGCGACCTTGTGGTGAGCGAAAAGATAATGATCATCAAATATCTAAAAGATAAAACCGACGATTAACATATGTTAACGTAGAATTAAGCAAAATTGAGTTACTATAGAAACAGTCGTACAAGAAGTTCTGTCCCCGCTAAATAACATATCACTTATTGCAATGTGAGATCTGAGATTCCTTGAAAATGATTAATGGTTTATTTTTCATTTTCAAAAAAAAGAAACAATTCGATTCGAATTTATTAATTCCGATTTCAATTAAATTGCAAAAAGATTAGCTAAAGGTGTTAGCTGTAAAAATTTTTTGTCTTCTGCGTTTACAGATTCTACCATGTTCTTCAAAATACAATTGATTTTATAGGTAGTATTGTGGTATAGGTAGTATTGTGGTAGAAGGAAAACCAAAGCTATTTATTTTGGAAATTTAACGTCAAGCATAGGGGAAATGTATAGTAAAAGATGAATATAACCCGTAATATAAAAATTGGCATACAGCATAAAATTGGTCCAGGTTTTAATACATCCTATTTTAATATCATCCGATTAGCTTATGATTTTTTCATATTAGCGCAAGCTTATACCAAATTTTATGATTTAGAATGATGCATTACAGTTCAATGAATAAGTAGGGAAAATTAGAGTAGGGGAATCTTCGGAATATATAATGAAACAAAATATTGTGAGTTTTGCGCAATTTTGGTGTACATTCTCCTCTATGGTTTAGTGATTATACTTGATATTGATTTGGCGTATGATGCCCATGTAAATTCAATCTAAGGTTAACAATTTCATTGAGAATGTTAATCTCTTTGCACATTGTATCAGTGGTAGTTTTGCTTTTGTATTAACCTATATTTTGGAATGTTAACTTATAGTATGAGTTCTTGCAAGGCCCATTTAGAAATATTCGAATTTATTTATTTCAAAAAATGCAATTTGAAACCTCAACGGCCGATTTTAATTAAATTACAAGTCTACTACTCCATATAAATTTAAATGACTATATCTTATAAAGGTATATCCTGGCTTATGAAGAGTACGTATATTTACCTGCTCTGAATTTCCTTTCAAATATATTTATAAGATATTAGTATTTAAGCGAAAACTTGTCATCACTAACACCTAATTTTTTTGTCTTTTCAGTCCTACCAACATGCGCATATATTCGAAATTCTGAATATAATAATTTCTTCTCAAATGGTAAGATGATTATATTTATTTCAAGCAGGCAATGTTTTTATTATTTTTTGCATTTTAATCTTATATATGAAACGCAATCGTAAAGATTGGTGCAATAAAATGTAAATAATTAAAAACAGTAAATATCAGTGTAGGTAGGATATTTATGTACTATTTTACATTTCAAATTAATATATTTATGCGCGAAAAATTCAAAAAAATTGTTTAAATGAAAATGAATTTCAGTTTGAAAATGCGGCAATATGTACGGCATGTGAAATAGCTTTTCATTATTTGATTTTCGTTGAATTCGTGCTGATAATGTTTTTACGATGGTAATGACACTTTTGTAACATGCCTTTATGTAACATGCCTTTATGTAAAAAATGACTTTTGCGCACTTACCTTGCCCATATTAACAAATCCGTGATCATGCGCTACGTCATTCGCTTTATTATTCATATCACCATCCGGTATGTGAACAGCCCAAGTGTGTGTGTAATGATTTCCTAAACTACCTTCGCTATCCGCGTAATCTAATTCATACGGCAGTAGGTTTACATCGATTGCGGAATTGTTATCAACATCCACACATGCAACGAAACCGGGTTTAAAGGAACACAATAAAATGGCAATGCAAATTTGAAGCATATATATGACCCAGCTGCGAGGACTGTGCTTTCGAAGTTCATATCGATGCTCGTTTAAGTAATGATGCCACTCTAGTTGTCGAACTTGCTGCTCGGAACATGTTGTAAAATTATTTACATCTTCCGCTAATTTCGTATTATTTTTGTATAAAATATCACATCTTAAGAACTGAATTAACGATCCATTCGGATATGTGCAGATTGGAAATGTTGTACTATGTGATGTCCCTCCAGCATAATTTGCTGGAAATCGCCAATGTTCTTCGCTGTCATTGAGATTGACGCATGTCTTCCTGCGTGTTTCCAACGACCACCGAACAACGTCGTTTTTCATTGTTTGCCGTAAGAAAAGTTATTAATAACTTTTCTTGTGTACTTCAAATAAATAAAAATCTTTAATGCGTTACTGAGTTCTTCCTAACGGCGAATTCTGAAACGAGAAGAATAGAGCAATATCATAATTATAACATTGCTAACGTGTGATAGGCAGTCAAATCTGTTTAATTGAAAATTTCATATATAAGGGAAATTACAAAATTCTTTTAAAATTCCATTAAAAAAATTTGAAAACATTTTTTGCGAGCACATTTATGATTTTTGGTACATAGGTTAAGAAAAATATGCTGATTCGAAATCTGCTCGCGTTCACAAATTCGGATGCTATGCACAAAAGTTATAGCGGTTTTAAATATTGTATTTCAAATATAATTAAATGAATTCCTATTTGTTGTAATTAGCGAATTTCTTCACAAATGGGTAAACACATTTGTTTTCTTTGCATACTTGTCAAATCACATTGAAATACGGTATAAGAGTCTCGAAAAACAAATAGAAGCATGAAGATATCTGAAAATAAAATAAATTATTTTTTTAAGACAAAACGTTTATTTGAAATTTCGAATCTTCTAAAATATACGACGCTTTCTTCTGCAATTTCTTTTAGATGATTGTTAAATATCGGTAGATTTAATTTAAATTAATTTATCTTTATTTACTTTGTAATTGAAGCCAAATTACAATTTAATGGCCAATTTATGTATAATTACAAAGAATCCACCTTATATCATAGCTACTCTAAAACAAATTCTTATAAATATAATATAAAAAATATTTTAAACATGTTTAAATCTGCATTACATCATGACTACTCAAATATATCCACTTTTAAACAAGTTATTATAAATAAATGATGTTAACGCTAATAAAACATTATGAATGTAATTATGCAGATGCATTTTAAAAAACTTCGTGACATCATGGCTACTCAAATGTAAAATATTAAATAATATAAATTTATAAATACAATACATTGAATACTATTGTGGTTGTTACGTAGCTTTAAAATGATAATCAATTTTTGCAAATCAAGTAAGGCAAAATCATATAAATGATTTATAATGTATATAAAAAAGTTAGAACAGATTTTCGGAATAGTGTTGAAGAATTTTTTTCCTGAATAAGTTATAGGAATAACAGAATAGCTTTAAATTATTCCTCTGTTAACAGATTCCTCTGTTAACAGTTTTGACGTTAAAAATTACTAAATATATTGCACTTACAATACATTAAAATGATCAACATTATACACTAAACGAAGCAAAATCACTAGTTCTACAATCCTATAATAAGTTTAGTCCATTATCTGGACGAGCGTCCTGATTATAAGAAAAATTCAAAAACACCGAAAATCCGGCTTCAAAATGTCACCATCCCGTTTTGGGTGGATGCAGTGATTTTATCGAAAAATTAGAACCATATTGTGCATGGGCATTCTGCAACTTAGTCACTGATCACATGTGCGTGCTTTGTGTAGTTTAGCCACAAATCAGGAAAGAACACAAAAAACTCCTTGGCCCCAACACATTTTCACCCATTTTTTTACATTTCCACCATCACAGCTTCCACCCAAGTTATTATTTATTACCAATATTTTAAGAACAAGAACACTTCATTTTATTGAAATGAATTTAAATTATATGCAATATGTCTATATTTCGCGAGTTATAACCTTGCCAGCCTCAGTTTCAAGGAATTTAAAAGATTTTTGTAATTTCCCATATAGTTATATATGGGCAATATTGCCAATTTTTTAACATAACTCGGGAATTACTTAAGTATATGAAAAAAAGTGAATAGTTTTGGGTTAATTGATCTGTCGTTGCAAACTGTTCATGATATTGACCTCCAAACTTTATTTTGGTGGAAGCTGTGTCTACTTTAATGTAAAAAAATGTGTAAAAACAGGTTGAGGCGAACCAGTTTTTTTATGTTCTCTATCGATTTGTGATTAAGCCACTCATTTCACGGTCTTCGTGTCAAAGTAAAACTAGAAGCCAACAAAATGGGTACTACGCCCCTTGTGTTGTTCAAAATTTTAACTGCATCTACCTTTAAATGATGCTGACATTTTGAAGCTCGGTTTTTAGTTTTTTTTTTTAATTTTACTTCTAGCTTTAATACACGAACAGGAATTTCTAAAAATCGAATATAAGATTATTGTAGTCAGGGTAATACTCATCCGAAGGTGAAAATTTTGTGCGATCAAATTTCTAAAAAACCTATTTTTCGGGACAAATTTTCAGATCTGTCAACTGAATGATATGGGTACCCGCGATCAAAAAGGTTTTTTACGTTTCGGATGATATAAAATCTTCTTCGTGAAAATCCATCTACTAAACGGCGGGAACTGGCCTTCCAAAAACACGAAATTTGGCAAAAAATGTTTTTGAAAATATCGCGGATTTATTAGCGTTTTCTGTGGATAATTTCCGTTTCAATAGATGTCCTGTTACGGATTTTTTACTTAATTTTTTATTTATTTTATTTTATATTGCCCAGTCTTTCGACCTTAAGGCGTAATCTACATTTCACAATTAAATATAAATGTTATCATACTATCATATATCTACTTTATAAATTCAAGTATAAATTCGATCAGAATACTAAGTATTTAATCTATCAAACATTAATACAAAGTCATATAAATTATTTAGCATCAATATATGCTTTCAAGAACAGTACAAGCCTTAAATCATTGCAACGTCTTCAAAACAAAGCATTGAAACTTGTTGCTAATTTACATGTATTGTATCCAACACAATGCTTATTTTAAGAAAAATTTACGACAATCTTACCGATTCATGGCCAATATAGATATCAACTTTTACTTTATGTATATAAATGTATAAATAACGTAGGATTTCATACTATAGATTTCATACGAAATCAAAGTTTGTTCAACACTCGGAACAATTCACAACTTCGTGTTGCTTTATGTCGCACTGAAACCACCAAACAGCGTATACAACATTCCGGAAGTCGAGAATATAATCATTTGCCACAAAATGTTAAAAGTAGTTCTACACTTTCCGTATTTAAGAGACATTTGAAACTTTTTTTAGCGCAGAATGTCGAAGAAATGTTGTCTTAAATATATATATATATATATATATATGAGCTTATTAATAAATGTTGATATGTAAATATGTTATATACAGAAATTATGTAAAATTGCCAACTAGCCTCTTTTAATGCCACTTGGCGCAGAGGCAATTATAACGAAAGAAATGTATATGAGTTGAAATAAAAATTAAATAAAAAAGCGGCTTAAATGTAAAAGGGAGGGATATTGGACTACTAAAGAATATTATACCGATCAAATTACAAAAAAAGGTTTTTAATTATTATTATAGGTTATGATTAAAAAATTTGATTAATTGGATTATGACTACTCCCAGTAGGAATGGAATAGTTGTTAATCCACACCAAAAGGAAATTATTATATATAAAAATGAGTTGTATTTTTATCTAAATAAATTGTATCACAAATATAAAAAAATTAAACATACATATGTATATCAAAAAATTGAATTGAATTTGAACTACTCCAATTTATAAATATATACAACGTAATGATTTATAAATTCTTCATTGAATAAAAAAATAAATAAAATAAGTGAGCAATATTGGGCAATAATAATTTAAAAAAATTGATTAACTGTATATAATCATGAGTAATTGGAAATAAGATACTCTAACATTAAACCATGCTAATGAATGATTGAATGCTATTAAGGGTACTGGTAATATGTTATATACTCGAGCAACTCCGACAAGGAACGATCGTTCTAAAGAAGAAGTTAGTAAGGTAATTCGAATTTGAGGATTTCTTTGCGATCTTGTAAAAATAAATAGATTTACAAAGAACAGTGGTATCTGTTTCTTGAAACATTTGTAAAAAAGAGGAACATTCTCAGTTTAATAAAATCATAAAATTTGCATCCCAAAAAATCAATAACAAAAGGAGTAACAGGCTGCCAACTTTTTAGTGAATAAAGGTAGTAAGGTTTACTCTATTAAATACAATTTGAACCTTTTTAAGAACATATCCAAATATTCCTGAAAAGACTTCTAAACAGTACAAGATTATCGCAAAATCAAAGCTTTTACGACATGCTATAAAGTCTCCTTAACATAAAGTTAACTTTTAACACTAATGAGTTAATATGAGCCTCAAAAGTAAGTCCACTATCCACAAGAACTCCAAGGCACTTTATACAATCAACAAATTCAATGTGCGTTATTATATTTAACCTCAATACCAGAAGCAACACATAAGCCAACAGACATAGCTTTCGTCTTATTTACATTATTTTTCATCATCCAATCTGCCACCGTGAAACAGACATGATTTACAACACTTTGCATCACATCCGGGAAAGCAGCATCACACTTCATCAACAACTGAACGTATTCGGCAAAGGCAAAAGGAAGACAATTATCAGAAGCTATTGCAACAAATCATTTATAAACAAAAAAAGAACAACAACGGACCAAGAACGGATCCTTGAGGCACGTCACTTATAACGGGCAACAAGCTCGAACGATTTCCACTAGCGAAAACGTACTGATATCTATATCTAAGATACGATTTAATAAAAGCACATGATGTAATAGAAAATCCAAAATAATTACAAAGCTTAAAGACTTGCAGTTCGTGAT